CAGAGTTTAGTTCAGTGAAAAGAATTCTTTTTGTATCTAAAAATGAACTCAGATTTGGTGACATGCGACTGCCCAGTAAACATGCATGTCTAAAAGATGTCGAAAAGATATCTAAAAGACGTCTTATGCAACAAAATGTTGCATAAGATATCTTTTAGATAACTTTCGATATCTTTTAGACATGCATGTTTACTGGGTGTATTCATTTTTTAAAATTGTATTCACTTAATTTATTGCAATTTTTACTAATATGTTTATTTTTTCAGTTTATCTGTTGAATATAAGCATTTTAATTAATAAATACCGTCAAAAATTAATATTTTATAATTCCCCATACCGCTTTTCCGTTCAAAATATACTTCAAATAATACTTCATGGGTGTTTACGATAATTCGAGTTGGAGTTAGTACGAGTTAGTTTCACTAGAGTCGAAAAATATGATAGGCACAAGCATCTAGTATTTTCATGATTCATGACAACTCAATGCTGTCCGATAAATCGAGTAGAGTTAGGATAACATAGTGGATATATGTATAAGAATTAACAATATCAGGTAACATAGTTTCGTAAAATATATAACAATAATATTACGAATCAATGAGTTGTTACATTTTAGAAAAATTAGAAGCACTAAATTAAATTATGAAAAGATATCATGTATTTGTAAAATATTCAAAAGTAGAAAACAATTATTCTAACCTATTATTAATCTGTTATTATTGAATATTTCACAAATACATGATATCTTTTCATAATTTAATTTAGTGCTTCTAATTTTTCTAAAATGTAATAAATCATTGTTTCGTAATATTATTGTTATATATTTTACGAAACTATGTTACCTGATACTGTTAATTCATATACTATCCGCTATACTACCCTAACTCTACTCTACTCGATTTATCGGACAGCATTGAGTTGTCATAAATCATGAAAATATTAGATGTTGTATCTATCATATTTCTCGGCTCTGGTGAAACTAACTCGTACTTACTCCAACTCGAATTATCGTAAACAGCCCATGTTAAGCAATCAAAACAAACGCGAACGCATAGCGGATCTAGTAAGATTTTATCTTCCGCGCTTCATGTAATGGCACTCTCAGAGCCTTCGCACAAGAACATCCGTAACATGTTAAGTTTACGAATTTCTTTGTGCGTTGACTTAAGTTTAAGTTTACGTACAGATATGGCTATTGTATTGTCAGTACTTAACGTAACGTAACATGTTACGGATGTGCTTGTGCGTTGGCTCTCAGGCTTTTTTCTGTTAAACCCATTCTACAATTGCGTAAGCGTAGTCGTGAACGTGAAGCCCATTCTACAACTGCGTGAACGTGGGTAAGTGGTTGTATGTGATTACGACAACCAATCAGAATAAAGCAATCAGTAAATAAAACATTCAAATTGGTTGACTCTTACGATCACGACTACGCTTACGCAATTGTAGAATGGGCTTAAGAGTCAACCAATCCGAATGTTTTATTCACTGATTGTTTTACTCTGATTGGTTGTCGTAATCACTTACAACCACTTACATCCACGTTCACGCAATTGTAGAATGGGCTTTAGAAGGATCACAAAAACCGGCCTACGACCTCTATCTTTATTGGAAGCGGTGCACTTGGACACGGGACATTTGGACACAGCCAATCACAGCACCGTGTGCTTAGAGACATTTGTAGGGTCCCTTGGAACAGCGACTTATGATTGGACTGTGTCCAATTGCCCCGTGTCCAACTGATATACACCCATCTTTATTCTATATAGTTACACTTGAGGTCTATTCTTGTTTACAACTGCACATTCTAAACGATCTGTAATATTTCGGGATTGGACACAACCAACCGATGCAAAGAATTATCTGAATTACCAGGTCGAACCAATCATAATTTGTGTCCAATCGTACCGTGGTCATCGGGTCGCATCCAATAAAGACAATATAGTGGAGTTACATAAGGAATAGATCTCTTATGAGAAAGAGGAAATTGCAAAAGAGTACAGAAGTGCAATTAAAAGGAACAAACCTGTTGCCTGTATCTTTCGAAGTAAGGTTATGTTATATACTTTGTTTGGCGTCACACAGTGGCAAGTGGTGATCTATTTGCAATAGCATTTGGATTTATAAATTTAAGATCGGTCTATCTGTTTTCCCACGCTTAAAATTTTCCATCTCAAAATGGCGGAGATTTCTTTGAGTCTAGGTGAGAAGACGTTTATCCTCCATGGAGCGGAGGTGAGTGTATACGAATATGATGCACGTGTGTGCGTTCATTGAAATTGTTTTCATTGCATTCGCAAGTGTTGTATTCTATCTAACTATCATGATATAAGGACGGGTCCTGTAATTATTTTGAAGTATACTTTGAGTTATTTCTAAAAGAGTGTAAAATTTCATTTTCTGAACACTGACCAATGGGGAATGTACCTTATCAGGCGCATCGTTGAGAGAAAGAGAGAGAGAGAGAAAGATTTATAAGTGTTTAAAATGTTGTCTCCGATTCATCCAAAGAAACATTTGTTTATCCTTTCAAAATTCTCTCTCTCTCTCCCTCCCTCCCTTCCCTGTCTCTCTATATGGTTATACATTTATATTAATGGACGCGTCGACGATTAGACCGGTTTCAGGAATGATGGACGACAGAAGTATGAATATCGTTCCTTGGAGATTGAAACCAGACTGATGCCGCACGCACACGGATCGGCGCGATTAAGAATAGGCAATACGGACGTTTTGGTCGGCGTGAAAGTAGAAATCGACATACCGCACGCTGACAGACCTCAAGAAGGCAAATTAGACTTCTTCGTGGACTGGTATGTCTTAGATCCAGGGTTGAGTGTTTACGCATAAATTAGTGTGAATTCGTAAAAAATACAAAATCTAACTCTGGAAATATATGGAAATATTTACTTTTTAGAGTTTACATTGGATGAAAAGATATCTGATCGCTTCCAAATAATTATATATTTGCAAAATTATTCATTTTTCATGATTTCATGCTAGAGAAAAAAATGACAAATTGATAAGTAAGATTGAGTTCATGTGAAAAAAATTCATGATTAATGCCTTGAAAATCTACAGAACTAATGCACACTAATGTAATAAATTAAAGTGAAAAAAGAGTAAGAGTAATTCAGAAGTTTTTTGAAAACGAACAGACCTCTTGCATAGATGTAGATTATGTCAAACTGGATACAAAATTCTTATCACCATTTTGCAAATATCCATTGTAAAATTTTGAGTTATCAAGTAAAAAAGATCAACAACTGATCATACAATATTCTACACAATTTGCATAGTTTACATGAAAAAAGATCACGTGCACATCACACGTAGAGTGATCCATAATTATGAAATCTACAGCACAATCTTGTCTAAATCCTAAATTTATCTTGGATCTTCGACTCATACATTTTCATTGAACACTTCTTTGTCTCTTTCAGCTCTGCCAATGCCACACCAGCGTTTGAAGGTAAAGGAGGGGACGACCTGGCGACTGAGATAAGCAACCTCCTCTCCTTGGCTTATCAAACACCAGATGCTTTTGACTTGAGACAGTTATGTATATTGCCTCACAAGAAGTGTTGGAAAATGTACGTGGACATTTTGGTAAGTATTATTAGACGGTAGAACATCTCTAAGACTGCTACGTCACTCTCCTTGTCTTTTGCAGATTCTACAATGTGGTGGGAATCTTTTCGACGCGGTAGGCGCCGCGGTAAAGGCTGCGTTGTACAACACCGAGATCCCGAGAGTGATCGCGGCGACGCTCGACGGCGGCGAACCGGACATTCAGCTGTCGGATGATCTTTACGATTGCGTCAAACTGGACGTGACGAATTACCCCGTAGTGATAACGGTGTGCAAGGTCAGCATACATTAATCTTATAACCATTATAAACATTTATTGTGTACTAATGTCCTTATTTTGAATTCTTATCGATAGAAGTGCCTGTAAATGTGCTTATAAGCCATTCAAGTGACTTTTAAATCACATTAATAAAATATTAATGAAAGGGATTTCAAAATAAGAGGCCAAGTTTTTATGTTTCTGATTGTTTGGATTTCTTTCCCCCTCAGATCGGCGATAGCTGCGTGGTGGATCCAACGTCGGAAGAGGAATCGTGCAGTTCTGCTAGCCTCCTCATGTCTGTGATGCCGAATGGCAAGATGACGTCTGTAGTTAAGATAGGATATGCCAGCCTGCAGCCTACTACCTTGATTAAAATGTTGGAGGTAACGAGTTTCTGTGTATTTGCCAGGCAAATCGTATCAACTAAAACCAATTTTAAATGTTTGACTTTACAGGTAGGAAAGAACGTTGCTCTCAAACTGAACCAAGCTCTCCTGAAAGGATTAGAGGAGGAGGACAAGCTCGGTCAATCGAGGCCAATATGTGGTTTTCTTAGATAATACTTGCGCCGCGCTCGCCATTGGGCCACTAAGAGTACAAATATATTTTTTCAAGTTGAAACTTTTCGTTGTGTCTCCCAGTAATCCGACATCTCTCGTTTATCGTTAAGTTGCGAATGCTCGTGCAAGTGTACATTTTGACATTTGATCCCGCTTTCTCACGTTTCCTGTCAAAATACAGATCTGCGGAACATCCGTAGTCCACTTGTTGCGCAGCAGCTGTCGAATGCGAGGCTGAGAGTCTTTCTGAAACCACAGCGCGATTTTGCTTTTGTTTATCCGATTGATCAGCTGCAACTAGTCTTCACCGAGTTGCAGTGTGGGTGTGGGTGCGTGTGCGTGTATGTGGTGGTAAAACAGTGAAGTACACACAAATAACGATACCAGAGCCATAGATCATTGAACTATATACTATTATTTTTAATTCAATCATTGACCCGTTGTCTCTAATTCGGGCAAGTACATAAAAATCCCTTAAAACCTCGGGAATTTCGGATTCCGTACTTTCTGCAGCGGCGCTCATTTGCCGACTTTGCGTGGCGTTCCGTTTCCTCCTTTCCTTTCGTTTCTTCTTTTCCTCCTGCTCATGCACAAAAGCGTCGTCCAATAAATCGCGCGTAACTCGACGTCGTCATCGTTAACAACGTTGACGATCGCGCTTGTGCGAGGCGGACAGTCAAAGTCGACAAATGACGCGCGTGTCTGAAAATGGTTTGCTCGGCGCGCGCGCGAGTACAGAAACTAACACACCTCGCCTCCGCAGGAGTTAACATTGAGAAAAATAATTTCTTACGCGATCACGCCTCGATAGCGTTTCCTCGATCTGATTAATTATGACAGGACGTCCCTTCGGTACCGTAATGAACGTTAATTCCTCCACGAAGTCAGTTCGTTAGTCGACGAAGGCGCAAGAGAGTGAAACTGGTTGGGAGAGGGAGTGGGAAAGAAGTCGCACGGAGCTGTGATAACGAAATCGGTTTTTTCTTTTTCTTTAACGATCCTTAAAGAGAGTGGCTATTACAATGATTATGTTGAAAGTGCTGAAAGTAGTGAAAGATATCTTTCTCTTTTTAGTTTAGTTATAAATATTCTGTTCTTACACGGTAGTATTTGTTCTTCCTCTTTCTCCTCTCCCCGCCTCTCTTTCTTGTTATTCTTTTTTCTCTTTTCTTTTTTCTCTCTCTTTTTTTTTAACGGACCTGTTATAGTTTGTACAGAGGTCCTAAGTATATAACTCTTACAAGATAATAGTTAGAATCGTTTTCTAGCGTGTCGTGTGTGTGTGTGTAGTTACAAGAGTCCGTCAATGTATGTTGTAT